TAATGGAACCCCAGAGGAGGGGAAGCTGCCCCTTTTATAGGTCTCATGGTGTGCCCAGCTCACGGAGCTGCATGATGTGGTAATTTAAGTTTGTGCTTATTCTCTCTCAGTTCCTTCTCTGAGAAAATTTTGAGATGAAGCTTGATCCTGGTTAATGCTTTTCTCCTTTGGATCTTTTTTTAAAACAAAATATGATAATTTATTTAACATGTATAAAACGATTTCATAAAGCAGAATTAAGTGGAACACATTCATTTTCTAGGTATTTGGGTTTTGGTGCCGTGTCTGTGCGCGTGTGTGCGCAGTATGTGTGTGCCCGTCTGCATGTGCCCGTATGAACACTAGCAGACATTATTGAGTGTTGTTCTGTATCCCTTCCTCGTGCTCCTTTCAGGCAAGGTCTCTCCTGGAACTTGGAGTTAGAGGGTCTCTCTGCTAGGTTGACTTCAACAAGCCACACAGTCCTCCTGACTCCATCTTGGTCAGGAGTGGGCTATAGGGCACAGGACCCTGGGTTGTTGTGTGGGTGCTGATATCAGGACCCTGGTCCAGATGGCACGCTTGCACACTGAGCGCTTAAGCACTGGGCTTCTCTTCATCCCCAGAACCCTGTTCTAGTATTTTAAATGTTTTCTTTGGGAGTTCATTGGTTTCTGCCTCATGCTGATGTGAAGTCTGGCCTTCTTTCATAGGTGATTTTGGCAGGAAAACTACTGGTTTCCTAAGTACCTGTTTTTTACTTGCTGTCTCAAGTGGAGGTTAGGATTTTGAGACTAAAAATGGGAGTATCATAGTTCAAAGCCAGCCTGGGCTATATAGTGACACCTTTGTGGGGAGGGGGACAGGACTGGGAAGATAGCTAAGTCAATGAAGTTCCTACCCCGTTCAGGGCGGAGGTCCAGCTAGAGACGCTTGTCTCAGAGAGCAAGGTGCGTGGCTCCTGAGGAAGGACACGCGAGGCTGGTCATTTCCTTTACATGCATGTGTACATACCAGCACACTTATGGGCATGCACCCACAGGGTCACGCAGACACATATAAGAGACAATGGAGACAGGAACGGAGCTGTCATGCTTACTCATTGTGCCTAAATACAGTTCCTTCTCCTCAAGTGACACCCTGTAAACATGAGACATTATTCTTCTCTGCATCCCCAGCCACTAATAACCTCCGATTTTTAGACCTTCTGTGCAGAGTGAGTCAATTACACCAAGCAAGAACTGAGGGTTCCTGAGAAGTCTTCCCCTGGCATTAAACAGCACAAACATTTCCCCATATTGTTAGTCCCCATGTTTTGTTGTTTAGAACAAGTACAGCAAAGTACTTTTTTCCATTTTTTAAATTATTGTTATTACAATTATTTCACTTTGTATCCCAGCTGTGGTCCCCTCCCTCATCTCCTCCCAATTCCACCTTTCTTCCTTCCTCTCCCCCTATGTCCCTTCCCTAGTCCACTGATAGAGGAGGTCTTTCTATCTGACCCTAGCCTATCAAGTCTCATCAGGACTGGCTGCATTGTCTTCCTCTGTGGCCTGGCAAGGCTGCACAGCCCAGGGGGAGGTGATCAGAGAGCCTGCCAGTTGATACCCCAACCAAGGACCATGCATGGAGAGGACCTAAAACCCCTGCTCAGATGTAGCCCATAGACTCAGTCTTCAAGTGGGTTCCCTAGTAAGGGGGGCAGGGGCTGTCTCTGGCATGAACTCACTAGCAAAGTACTTTTCAAAGAACAAAAGAAGTCTAACCCCATTGTTAAAGGGGACAGCATTTTTATATGCTGCCTGAGTTCCTCTGCTGTGCAACTTATATAACTGGGGTGACCCTGGTTCTGTCATTCTGTGCGTATTTTGTTGTGTGGGTTCTTTTCTGAGACAGGGCCTCACTGTCAGCCACAGGCTGGCCTAAAGCAGGAGGGCTTCTCCCCGTGCCTCTGAATGCTTCACCTTTTTTCTTTTTGGTTCATTGGCATAACTGAACATCGAATGCTGCCAGGAACTTCTTGTTTTTTGCAGTTGGTTCTCTCTTTAGTGTTTGTCCATCCTAACTTGTCCAAATGCAGAGACTAAGTGACAGTTGAGTGCCCAGCCCTGTGAGAGAAGCTACGTCAACGAAGCACCACTCTTGGCACGCTGGTGAAGAGGCGATACAAAGGCAGAGCTGTGGGTGGGAGGAGAGCTGTGGGGTGCCGTCTCCTGGCCAGGACAAGGCTACTGCTCCAATGAGCTCAGTGCGTGGCAGGGCTAGGCTAGATGGCCACAGACCCAGGGCCCCTTCTCTCTGAGCTGAGAAGGCCAGGGCAGGACTCACTGTGTGTCAGAACATGCGGTGGGGAGAAGGGAGATCTAGGTTCAAGATGGCACACAAGGAGGTCCCTGGTCTAAGGCTTTACACCTGCCATCCACTCGCAGGAGGCCTAGGAAGGGTGAAGGGAGAGAAAGGATGAATCTGGGGAAACCAAGAGGAGGGCAGGGTGCAGGGGGGAGTCCCCTGCAGATGTTGGGCCTCAGTGCTGCAGATCTGCGTGTTTCCTGTGGGCATCCCCTAAAATCCTGTAGGTGCTGACTGTGAACGCTTCTCAGGTTATCACACAGGCTGGAATCACCAGGGAGGCTTCTTTCCACACATACACATACTGAGGTGCCTGTGCCCAAGCTTCTGATTTCATGGGTCTGAGTCACTGGATGCATGTAAACACATACACACACAAAGAAAGGTACAAATACACATTTACACACTCTGTAAATCTTTGTAATAAAGCTGCCAGAAGTGCTCAGACGTATACCCTTGCCAGCACAATGCAGGCTTGAGTCCCATCCTCAGACAAAAGCACCAGATTGCAAAGTTTCCAGCAAAGCAGCAAGGATCCCCTGTGTTCCCTGCTATGAGGGTCCCCCGTTCCAGCCACATGCTTGGTATTTGCTGCAACTCTTCCTGTCTTACCACTTTCATTATATTTCCCAAATTACTTTAACTGTTGTTGTCATTATTATTATTATTATTATTATTATTATTATTATTATTATTATTATTAATTTTGTATTTGAGACTTCATCCTGCACTGCCTTGAGTAGGTCTGAATTTCTGGGCACAAGTCATCCTCCTGCCCCAGATTCCAGAATACTGGTCAACCCACACCTTGGGGGAAAGAGATAAAAAATGATAAAAATTGGGGAGGCTGCTATTCATTCAGGGGGGCTGGTAGAAGGAATTCAGCAAAAAGCCCACCTTCTCTTCTCCTGGCTCCCTTCCTGCACCGTCACCATATGCAAGCTGGGGTGACGGCCCTGACGACACCAGCAGCAGACTTCACAGTGGGTCAAAAGTGCATCTCCAGCAGAAACGGAGAAGGGGAACAGACACACAGGCGCTGGCCCTGGTTTCCTCCCTAGGGAAGAGCCAGAGACTGTTTCCTCACAAGGACCCTTGGGTCAAACCCTTCTTGTTCTCCATATGGCCCTTCAGAGCCATGAGTCGCAAGAAAAAAGTCGCCTGTGCAGAGCCCCGTGTGTGCTTTGACCACAGAGGAGTTGCCACCCAGGCAGGGCTGGGAGCGCAGCAGAGGATGAGGGCCAGAGGAACCTGGACTAAACTGTGTGCACATTCTAAAGCTCAGGAGCATCGTCTCCCTGTCTGCTGAGGGCCGGGCTAGAGAGATCCCTCCGTGGAGTGAGGAGGGAGTCAGAAAGCCCATCTTCAACCCAGTGAGCACTGGACAGGTGGATGATGGGAACTATGTGGAAAGTTTGACTCTAGGTTCATCCTATATAATAATTTGTCTTTTGGAGATCGGCCTCATGTAGTCCAGGCTGGCCTTGAACTTGTTGTCATGAGTCAGCATTACTGTTGTTATAACTAAAAGCAAGAGAGAAGGAAGACGCCTCTCATGGGGTGTTGTCCAACCTGGCACTCCGGCAGGAGTAGTCCTGGACCTAAATTTCAGGATTGGTCATTAAGTTTACAAATGTGCAGCATAAAGTGAGGGATGAATTGTTGGGTGACTGAGTTACTTCATACTTTCTTTTGTTTGCTGACCTTCCTCATCGTCTGTCAGAGAGCTGGCAAGATGGTTCAATGGGCAAAGGTACTTGCAGGGCAAGCTTGATCTGACTTCAATTCCTGGAACCCAGGTAAAGGGAAAGAGAAAACCAACTTCACAGAGTTGTCTCTGACTTCTGCAAGCACAGCAACACACACAAAAGTAAAAGTTTTTTTTTTTTTAATTCTGTCACATTTTCTTTCAAAGGGCTCATTGTCTTGACTAAGAAACTGCTCCTCAGCCTCAGAAAACCAACTGTGAGAACCACAGCTTCTCTTTTAGAGTCATGCTCTCCTGGCAATCTGTAGAGCCCCGGCTTCTGTCGGTTGTAAGCTTCAGACTGGCGGTCGAGGAACACCAACAGCACAACGTGTGAGGTGGGGGCATTGCCGCAGGCTGCTGGCACCCCAAAGCACTCCATGCCACAGAGAGCACATGTTTGAAGTTCCCATGGGACAGACAGGGTGAACAAGCGCTTCAGGGTGACAGGCCGACACTTCCCCAAAATCAGCTGAGGATCTCTGTCTCCTCAGGTGGCTCCAGTCAGTCTGTGAAGAACTTCATCTGGCTGCCTCTGTTAACCTCTGGAGGGGAAGTAGCCAGCCTGGACCTGAGCACTGGTCTCAGGGTATTAGCAACAGCCCTGTCCTCTCTCTGTACCTCCCCACCCTTTAAGAGACAGGGTCTGTCTACATGACCATAGCTGTCCAGAAACTCACCATGTAGTCCAGGCTGGTCTCAACCTCACAGAGATCTGCTGCTTCTGCCCCCTCAATTCTGAGATTAAAGATGTGCGCCTCCATGCCCGGCTCGCCCTGCTGTCTGTTGACAGTGGTGGCTGGAGTGAAGTATGGCTTCCTGTTCTCCAGAATGCCAGCACCCCGGATCTCTGGCTCACAGCGTCTTTCCTGTGGCTTATGCCTTACTTTTCCCTCCTCTT